GAATACAGATAGATAACCCGATATGTGGCGCCATCTAGTGTACCTAAATTCAGCTAGAAATGTTCATAAAAGTGACCCGAAAAACGGGGCTAACTCGGTAACCCGTGGCTCGATTTTAACGAAACTTGTTTTCTTCTGTTTTTATTCCCATTTCATTACACATATGGCGGTATTGTGCGCCGTTTTTGCTGTATTTAATTACAGACAAGCAAACAAACAATTTCAGAGTTTTAGTAGTATATAGATAGATTTTTAAAAAACATGATTTATAAGATAAAAAATATTTTTCGTAAGATTTAATATATATGAATGAAAAACATTTAATTATGAAATACAGCTTTACATGTACACAAAATCTTTAAAAAAAAACATCGATAGGTTTAGAAGTCCGCAAAAAACTTTTTAATTGAAAGGGGTCCTCGGGTTATTAAAGTTTGTGAACCTTTGTTCTAGATTATTTTTATACATCACATTACTTAAATTGTTAACTTCAAACTTACCCAGTGTGACTAGTGCTATTCATATGACTGATCTTTCCCTATGAAACATGAAAGAGGTCATTACCTGAAGAGATCAGCCGATTACCAGTGGGAAAGATAACTGTCTATCTTCACATACTACAGGTGATCTTGCAGCTAGCTAGCTATCTTTACCATGGAAAGACACGGTGCCACTCTAGGCGAATGACATGGAACAATAGGTATTAGAGCAAAATTAACTTGATTACTTTTTTGAACAATTGGGAACTGCACAAATAACACATTGTATAAATTAAGAAAAATAGCTAGAAACACATGATACAATTAAATACCACATATTAACGTTACAGTGTTTGTGTGCACATTTGCTTTGACAATAAATAGTTATATGTGTTTATAATAATTTGGCTAACTCCAACTCATGTAAATACATTATTGAAAGTTTGGCGTTGTATGATACCTTTAATTTGTATAAATATTCCCTGTAGGAGTAACCAGCCTTTTAAGTGGTAGAACCAATTGAAAACGACCCAGCAATTCTGAAAATGGTAGTATAGACGAGATTACAGCAGAATTTTAAAATGAAAATATGCATTTTAGGGATTAAATATATGCCTCTGACTGCAATTTGTAACTCGATCTATAGAAGAGGGACAATGCCAACAGAATTTAGAAGTTCTGTTTTTGTGCCTATTCTCCCAGAACCTAAAGCTATAGAGAGATGAATATTGGTTTAATCAGTCACACCTCAGAAGTATTGCTAAAAGTAATCCTCAAAAGAATTAACCACACAGTTTATAATGAACTGTCAGAAGACCAAAATAGTTTTAGGAGAGGTCGGGGCACGTGAGAGAACATTTTCAGCATTAGGATGTTAGATAAACAAAAAAGCCGTAGAAGTGCAAATAAATGTTTATATGCTTCATATACTTTTAAAAAAGTATCTGCAAGGGCTAACCACGGGAAGTTAATGAAGATCCTGCAGCAGATTGTGGAAGATCAAGCATATATCAGAATCCAGAAAAACTTGTACTTCAGTCAAGAAGCAACAGTTCGAATTAATGGAGGAGAAGTACAGCAATAGGTTTATGGTTAACAGAGACGTTCGAGAAAGGTGTTTGCTGTCACTAACCTTGTATAATCTGAAGAAGAGATGCAATGGTTTGCTAATAAAGGGAAAGACTATGGAGAACTCAAAGTACACGTTAACATGAAAGGGAAATGGAACAAATAGAAGAGTTTACTTAGGAACGAATGTAAATAGTGATTGCAAGTGTGGAAAATTCATAAAACAGAGAACAGGAACGGCGAGAACAGCATTCTTCAATTTCAAAGAATTGTTTAAAAGAAATGTCAAACTAGAAGAACAAACTAAAAAAAATACATATGGTTAGTTCTACTCTATGGGGTAGAAACGTGGGAACTGTCTACTGAAACAAAACGACAGTTGAGAAGCATTTTAAGTGTGGTCTTATAAACGAATACTGAAGATCAGTAATGAAGAAAAAAGACAAATTAACGAGGAAGTATTGAAGCGTGCAAAACCATCTGCTGGACATATGTGTAAATTGGAAGATGCTCTACTTAGGGCATGTAATTAGATCTGAGATAAGGTTGAAGATATTATGATGGATAAAATAGAAGGAAGAAGAGTGAGAGGAAGACGGATTTATTTGGCTCAGTGACATTAGAAAATGCATTGGAGATGGAAATCGTGAATTAGGAAAGTTAGTAGGGGCAGCAAGGAATGCGTACGATTCTGGCATCTCATCAAAACTTATGGTTGTCAAAGAAGCAATGTATCTTTATAGACTACTCAAATGGATTGCATTTCAATTTTATTATACGTCACTTGTCTTTGAAGATCCTACACATGTCACTAGGTTTGTTCTTTCCCAGGTGCAGGATTCATTCATGAAAGTTTTGCTTGATTTTATGGGTTTGCAGTTAACATTCTCTTTCAAAGTAATTCTGCTTTTCTAAAGGATACGTGCTGAAATAGAGAGAGATAATCAAAACAATTGCTTCAAATTTTGTTAGGTGTATTAAATGGGTTAATAACGTTATACTATTCATGAAAGTAAAGAACAGGGCCAGTAACCAAATGGTATCTAAATATTTTAGCACAGTCCACATTGACAGACATGAAAAAAAAGTATAAAAACATGAACCATTAAGAAATCGCCAAGTTCTGCTCATCAACGAGAGAATTCCACAAAGAAGGTATATGTGAGCAAAAACTGAGATCCCGATTTGATGATCCAATATTCGAGCATGCCAAGATTGTGTATCCAAACCTTATGAACGCTAAATATTTAGAGCCAAGAAATGTAACTTTGAAAGAGTTTGCTGGTCAAGTGATGAGATTGATGGAAAGCAGAGAGTTCAAAGTCTAGTTGAGCATCACGACAATATGAATGTTAACGTGTGATGTATTTTTATTTATTGATTTGTAATCCCATAGAGAATATGTTGTTTTAATTTTTCTTTTGCACATAAGCATTGTTTGGATAGAAACGTTTTACTTTTATTGTATTAATGTAAAGTAAACATTGATACTTTTGCGCATATGAGATCACAGTTGCAATTATTACTAACAAGGAATGTTAGTAACAATTACACAATAACTAGCCTTTTGATGTATGCTTCCTTTTAGTCCTGTAGATAATATTTTGCTTTAAGTTTTTTTTGTCTTGTTGTTGTTTTTTTGCTACATAATAGGTTATAAACATTCTGTCCACTGCGAGGAATCGAGCCCCGGATTTTTGTTTATGAATAAAGTTTTTTTGTTTGAATATCGCGCAAAGCTATTCGAGGGCTATCTGCGCTAGCCGTACCTAATTTGTATTTTTACGTCTCCGTTTGTTAATTGATTTTCCGTAACTTCGTTCCAACGAAACTTTAACGACACAAGTCTTTACTTAATAAA